GAGATAGGGTCTTTCTCTGTCACCTGGGCTAGAGTGCAGTGGCATGATCATAGCTCACTGCAACGTCCAACTCTGAGCTCAAGCGATCCTCCTGCCTCAGCCTCCCAAGTAGCTTGGACTACAGGTGTGCGCCACCACACCCAGGTAGTTTAAAATTTTTTATGTAGAGATGGGGTCTTGCTATGTTGCCCAGGCTTGTCTTAAACTCTCGGCCACAAGGCATCCTCCAAAAATATGTAGAATGAAATGCACAAATCTCAAGTGCATTTTCTTTGAGCTTTGACAAATGCATTCAGCAGTGTCATCTGAACTCTCAATATACAGAATGTTGCCCCAGAAAAGCCTTGCATGGCTCTTCCCAGGTGATCTCTAGCTCTGTTCCCAGGCAACCATTGTTCCTGCTTTCTTCCCTCCCTAGGGTAGCGTTGCTTGTTGTAGAACTTCACAGAAACAGGCTCATATGGTCCATACTCATGTATTTAATTATTTATTTAAATAAATAATTTTACTTTTACTTTTTCTTTTTATTTATTTATTTATTTCTTGTGACAGAGTTTCACTTTGTCGCCCAGGCTAGAGTGAGTGCCATGGTGTCAGCCTTGCTCACAGCAACCTCAAACTCCTGGCCTCAAGCAATCCTACTGCCTCAGCCTCCCAAGTAGCTGGGACTACAGGCATGCACCACCATGCCCGGCTAATTTTTTCTATATATGTTAGTTGGCCAATATATTCCTTTCGTTTTATCTTTATAGTTAGAGATGGGGTCTCCTACTTGCTCAGGCGGTTTGTATATCTTCCTGACCGGTCGCCCACCTCAGCCCTCTGAGTGCTAGGATTCAGGTCATGAGCTCTTGCCCAGCCTACCCTTTTTATTTTTAACTGCCAGATATTCTTTATTTGTTGCGAACAGAGTCTCACTGCTGTGCCTGGTTGTTGTCGTGTAGCATCAGCCTAGTCACAGGAACTCTCAATGGGTATGTGTATTATGCTCCTGCTCAGTCCCCTCTATGGTGTGTACTACAAAATATTTATATATATATATATATATATATATATATATATAATATACTATACTATATATATATTAGTTGGCCAACTAATTTCTATTTTTAGTAGAGATGGGGTCTCGCTCTTGCTCAGGCTGGTTTCGAACTCCTAACCTTGAGCCATCCTCCTGCCTTAGCCTCCCAGAGTGCTAGGATTACAGGTGTGAGCCACCGCGCCTGGCCATACTCTTTTGAGGAAGTTTGCTTCTGTTCAGCCTAAGTTTTTTCAGATTCCTCTGGGTCGTGTGACCCTGACCTTGTATTACGCTGGAACTCCAGGGCCCAGTGTGGAATGGGTGTTTGAGGAATATCTGTGGATGAGAAAATGATTGCGTGAGCGAAAGGGCCCCTGCTCACAGGAGACCTGCTCACCCACCCCCACATCCCTGAACCTCACTTCCCCTCTGGCCGACTTCCTCCATCCACCTGTTGTGGCCTCCAGAAAACAAACCCCTCCTTGTGGTACAGTCACCGACCAGAGGGCCCAGGGCTGTAATCCCAAATATCAGAGACCCTCGGTCTCTGCTTCCCAGCCTCCAATCTCATCCCATGAAAAGACGTGTTATCAAGCACCCACATGTTAGCTCCTCCCGCTTCCTGCCTTTGTCCGTTATCTGTTTCAACTTCCCCCTTCACTTCCGTCCCTCCTGCTCTGTCTGCTCCAAAATAAGTCCCTCCACCTGGGCTTAGAAATGCTAAAGTCTTTCCTGGGTCAAAAAAGACCTTCCCTAGGCAACCGGAACCCCGATACATTGCTGATGGGTGTGGACAGTGGGTGCTACCTCTTTGGGAAACTGTTTGCTAATTTCTTACCAAGTTAAATGTTCACCTACTATAGGACCCTCTCACAGCTATTTACCCAAGAGAAGGGGAAACTCATTATGAATTGTGGAAAAATGCACATCACATAAAATTTACCATCTTAACTATTTTTTTTTAAGAGACAGAGTTTTGCTCTGTCTCCCAGGCTGGAGTGCATTGGTGTCATCGTAGCTCACTGCAACCTCTAACTCCTGGGCTCAAGCGATCCTCCTGCCTCAGCCTCCCAAGTAGCTGGGACTATAGGCACAGGCCACCATGCCTGGATAACTTTTCTATTTTTAGTAGAGATGGGTCTTGCTCTTGCTCAGGCTGGTCTCGAACTCCTGACCTCAAGAGATCCTCCTGCCTCGGCCCCCGAGAGTGCTAGGATTACAGGTGTATAAAGTGATATTCAGAAGATCCAGGGATTAGGACATAAATATCTTTACAGGCCATTACACATCCTAACACAAGGAGTAACCAGATGACGAGGACTCCCAGGTGGGACGGTAGCGGGAATACCCAGTGGCCTCAGGTAAGTGTGTCCTGATTTTATGGGGCAAGGTCATGGGAGCTCTGTGTTCAGGACACTCCCAGACCTCTTCCTATCTGTCTCCTCAGTTGGCCTGTTCTGATTTTTATCATTTTAATAAAACTGTAATTGTTAAGTGTAGCACTTTTCCTAAGTACTGGGCATCATTCTAGTGAATTATGGAACCCAAATGGGTCATAAGAACCCCTGAATTTGAAGTCAGCTGATCGGAAGTGTGGGTGTCTTAGAGACCCTGGAACCTGTGCCTGGTATCTGGAGTGAGGGCAGTCTTTTTTTTTTTTTTTTTTTGAGACAGAGTCTCGCTTTGTTGCCCAGGCTAGAGTGAGTGCCGTGGCATCAGCCTAGCTCACAGCAACCTCAAACTCCTGGGCTCAAGCGATCCTCCTGCCTCAGCCTCCTGAGTAGCTGGGACTACAGGCACGTGCCACCATGCTGGGCTAATTTTTTTTCTATATATATTAGTTGGCCAATTAATTTCTTTCTATTTATAGTAGAGACGGGGTCTCACTCTTGCTCAGGCTGGTTTTGAACTCCTGACCTTGAGCGATCCTCCCACCTCGGCCTCCCAGAGTGCTAGGATTACAGGCATGAGCCACCGCGCCCGGCCTGAGGGCAGTCTTGAATGGTGACTGTGTCTTTAACCTGTGGAGGTGTCCAAATCCCACAGGTGGAGTCTGGACTAACTCTGGGTGGCCAGTGACAGCATTGCACTGCAGAATGACAGGAGGCCACCCTGGATTTTCTGGTTGGGCCCTAAATGCAATCCCAGGTGTTCTAAGCAGGAGGCGGAGAGAGATTTGATACGGAAGAAGGTATTGTCACCACTGAAGTCAGACATTTCCCTAGTGCAGGGGTCCTCAAACTTTTTAAACAGGGCCCCAGTTCCCTGTCCCTCAGACAGTTGGAGGGCCGTTGGAGAGTGCAGCGCACATTCCACACATGCGCACTGTGGGCCCCAGACAAGTCAGCTGCTAGTCGGGACGGGCAGCTGCGGCCAAAACATCTGGTGGGCCCGATAAACGTTCTCTGCGGATTGCATGTGGCCCGGAGGCCGTAGTTGGAGGACACCTGCCCTAGTGGCTTTGAAGATGGAGATAGGGGCCAGGAACCAAGGAATGCAACGAACACGGTTCTAGAAGCTGGGAAAAACAAGGAAACAGTTTCTCCCTTAGAGCTTTACAGAAGGAACCTGGCCCTGGTGACACCTTGATTTTGACCCAGTGAAATTTGTTATAGCAGCAGTGGGAACACACATCCGATCCTCCAAATGAACTGTCTGGAAACCCATCAGTGTGGTGTTCAGTCCTCTAGGCCTTCAGCCAGGCAGCCCCTGGTCAGTGCCTGCTCTGAGCTGCAGGTAAAAAGGGCTCAGAAAAGGATTGGGGTGTTGCCTCGGGGCAGTCCTGCCAGGTTCCTGCCTGGCGGGGGGGATGTGGAAGGTGTCCCCTCCTTTTCCTGCTCAGTCAATGCTGTAACAGCCCGGTAGCCTGGGGGCTCCCAGCTGCCTGTAGTTCTCGACTGGAATCTGCACAGAACTAAAAGCTGCTGGCCTGTCACTGCCCTCCGTTGGCGCTGTCTCCATGGGAAATTCCTGGAGAACCCCTAGCTCCTCGGGATAGAAGCAGGAAACCTCGGGAGTGCAGGGTGAATTCAGATCAAAAGTCCCTGGTTGGTATTAATAAAGCCAGGCTCTGTGCAGCCCACACCCCCGTGTGAGTTCAGCCTTCTCCACACCTTCCAACCTCCCAGCCTTTCTCTCTCTTTTGTTTTAGAGACAAGGTCATGCTGTGCAGCCCAGGCTGAAGTGCAGTGGCTAATGCACAGGCACGATCACAGTGCACTTTAGCCTTGAACTCCTGGCCTCAAGTGATCCTCCTGCCTCAGCTTCCAAAGTAGCTGGGACTACAGGCACGTGCCACTGCACCCAGCTCTCACAGCCTTTCTGCTTGCAAAGCCCTCCCTTCCCAGCTTCATTCACTGAAATCCCACTGTTCCTTGGCAGTCCACCTTCTTCTCTGGGATATATTGATCATGCCACCCAATGGTCACAGGCTCTAGGTGCCTAGGGCAGAAGTGACCTGCTCATCTGATCAGGGCAGCCCCTCTCCTACCTACCCCAGGGCCTTGTCTCAGGCTGTTTGCAATCTCCGCAATGGGGTGACAGTCTTCTCAAGGAATGGGCTACAACTGCAATATCTCAGCATTGTCTTCCCTCCACCGACAAGGACAAAAGTGACTCCTCCAAATGCAGGATCTCCTTGCTTTCCTCCATTAAATCACTGGCCGCATTGTTCCTGTGCCTAGCTAGACCAGAATGGGGAGGCCTCAGGGCATAAGGACGGAATATGACTCATCCCTGTGTTCCCAGGACTGTCTGAACCAAGCTTCAAGCAGGGGCTGGTTCAGGGGCTGAGGAACTAACAGTACTAAGTGGCAAAGCGCCCTTACCTTCAAGCCCCCCTGGCCCAGTGCAGGTTACCCACTGGGTTTGGGGGTGTCATAGTGCCATGATATCACTTGAGAAGTCAGGGGTCACTCACAGGGATGACCAAGGTCTCTGGGTTAAAGCTTGGAGAGCTCACCAGAGCTGGGAACCTAGATTCACTTCTGTAACATTTATTGATGCTTTCTCTGGCTGCAACGATAGCTCCCAGTCCGGGGGAAAATGCAGAAAAACCGAACAGCTCCACCCCCTTAGTCAACTGACATTGGCCAGGGAGAGAAGTGGGGTCAGATCACCCGGGCCCAGGAGCAGGGATTTGAGAGCCGATGCAGCGAGGTTGGAGGGAAGGTCCCAGCGCTCAGGCATTGGACAGGGCTGTGTGGTTCTCAGTGGTGGCAGACAGGGAAGAAATTATCTTTGGCAGCGGGAATCACCGGGAATCACGATCAGCCAGGAATCCAAGTGTGGCAGTGGGCGTGGCTCCGGGGCACTGGGCGTGGTTAGCAGCTGCGCCTCTTCTCACAGATCCAGCCGTCTCTCTCGTTGTCGCACGGCGCGTCGTTCCACATCCCCGTGTGCAGCATCATGACACAGTTCTCCCGCCCCCAAGAGTCGTTGGGCTCCCCTTGGTTCCAGTGGCTGCAGTGGTTGAGAGGGGGCGTTGCTGGGAATCTAGGCCGAGGGTGGAAGCCCAGCTGAACAGTCCCTAAGATCTGGCCCAAGCACTTCCCCTAGAGTCTAACCTGTGTCCCTCCCCACGTCTCACCTGAAGCTGAGTGGGCCTCCGTCCACCCACTGGTAGCCCTGAATCTTGCTCTGGTGTCGCACGGCCCTCAGGCCCAGCCAGTAACCGCGGCCACGCGTATTCTGAGTCAGGAAGCTCTAGAAAGGAGGGGAGACTTGAGCCGGCAGAGCGCGCCATGCCCCCTCAGGGGAACACCACCTCCCCCTGCACACCTGCTCATCAAGACCCCCGACGATCACCAGGTACCCGCCGGCGCCTGCGCAGTGGCGCTGAGCCTCTACCCACGTGGCCTGGGGCACGGAGAAATAGTAGCAGGAGCCCTCAAACGGCAGCCACGACTGGGGGCACGGGTTGCAGGAGCCTGCGGGGTGGCGAGGGTCAGAGAGGCGGACTGCTCCCAGGTGGAGCAGTCCTACTGGGTGTGACGGTGGGGTTGGACCTCCGGGGCCCAGGGGTGCAGCCACAGGACCCGGCCAAGGTCAAAGAGCCGGGCCAAGTGGCTCCAGGAGCGGGTTGCACCTAGCCCTGCCCCAGCACTCCCAGCCCTGTCTTGCTCACTGTTCTGGTGCCTGGCCGCCTCCAGCGCCCGGAACAGCTCATTGCGGACGTCCTCGCGGTCCCTGCCCGCTTCAGCCAAGCCCTGGGTCACTGCGGAGAATATAGCTGGGGTCAGCGTCAGGAGCAGGGGCGTGACTAGGTAAACGTCAGGATCCCTGTCCGTGGTCGGTTCACCGTCGGTGCCAGGGACAAGACTGACATCAGGGTGGAGGTCTGCTCTAAGTGAGTAGGGTCCATGGTGGCTGGGGTTAGGAGGTGTAGTCAGGATCAGAGTCCAGTGATCAGGGGTCAGGCTGGGGATAGGATCGAAGTCAGAGGTCAGGATCACAGGAGAGTGTCGGGGTCACGGCCACGGCCAAGGCTCAGGGGTCGTGGTCGGGTCTGGCCCTCACCGCGTTCTCCCAGTTCTTTCAGGGCTGTCTCCTGCTGGCTCAGCTTCGCCTGTGTCTCCCCAAGCTCGACGCGCGTGGCCTGCAGCTGCGCCTGCGTGCCCGAGCCTGGGAAAGGCGGAGGGTCGGGGGTAGAACGGGCGGAGAGGCGCGGATGCAGCGGGATGCCTGGTACAAGCCCACTCGACCCCTACCCGCCCAAGCCCCGCCCCCACGGCCGTAAGCCCCGCCCCCAGGTCCTTCTCCCAGCCCCAGCCCCACCCCCTCCGCCCACAGGCGGGGACAGTCCCCTCTCACAGCAGCTGTGGCAGGCCGCGACCTCCTCCTTCAACGTCCCCAACGCCGCTGTCTGCTTCGAGGCTGGAAGGACGCCCCCCCCAAATGCCAGGTCACCTGGGCGGGAATCGGGGGACCCTCCCCCACTCCGGGGACCGCGGGGTCCCCGCACACCCACTACCCTGTCTCCCAGGTCCCAGGCGTTCCCGCCCCGGGGGCCCGGCGCCACCGCTCTGCACGCACCGTTTGTCTTCAACAGGTGCTGGCCGCCCAGCAGGGCCGCGCGCTCCGTGGAGGCTGCGGAGAGAGGGTCCGGCAGGCGTGGCCGGGAGGCTCAGGAACCTTCCCCCGGCCCAGGGGCGCGGGGTTCCCCGCCCCGGCGCACACGAGCAATGTGCGCACACGCCCGTGGGACACAAACATGCGGGGACACGCACACACATACATGCTCGTACGCGACGCAACCTCTCCCGGTTGAGGGGTCACTCACCCTTGGACAATAGTACGCTCAGAATGACAGCCCACAGGACCGCCGCGGCCAGGAGAGCCAGGGCCAGGAAGCAGGACCTCCGGCTCCGTTGCTCCCAGCGTCCCCAGTACCCTGGGTGGACATGGATGGACTGCTGGGTGCCCCCCGCCAGCCGAGCCCTGAAGGCTTGCCTTCCTCCCAGGAAACTGAGGTTCAGAGAGGTTAAGTAACTTGTCTATGGTCACACAGCCCCTAAGTGGCAGAGTTGGAATTTGGCTCCTGGTTCCATAGCTGGTGGTGTCTCTGCAGCACCCCACTACCTGGATCCCTGTTGGCTCTTCCCCTCCCCTCCCCTCCCCCATCGAACTCCAGACACTGGTGCAGGGAGGGACCCCAGAGGCCCCGATGAGGTAGTCCCACTGCTCATACCTCCGGGGACCTCCTCGGGCTCGCCGCCCCACTTGCTGTACCCGCTGGTGTCCATGGCGCCGCAGGCATCCAGCTGGGGGCACAGATATAAATGTAGCCCCAACCCCCACCCTGGCCCTACCCACTCTGTCTTCCTTCCTTCCCACTTCCGTGGCTCAGTTCCCAGTAACAGGGACAAGGCCGGGCCCTTTCTGGGCTGGGCTGAACGTGAGGGGGGTGGCACTTCAGCTTCTCTGGCCGGGTAGCTGCAACCACAACTCCAGGCTGGCACTGGGGGCTGCTCTCTGGAGCTTGGCCCCCATATCTTATGGGCCCAGGGCCGGGCTTCCTCCCCAGAGGGACACACTGAGCCCAGCCACATGCTGACCCTTGCTAGTTCCTGAGAAAGCCCCCTAAAAGGCGTAGCCCCCAGGCCAGTTCAGCTCCCCCGGCAGCTGCCCCACAGGTGCCTGCCAGAGGCTGGGGCCACCCCTACCCTTCACTCAGTCCCTCTGCACCACAAGGGAGCAAACAGACTTTGCTGGGGTGACATTCAGTGGAGCCACTGTCTCTACCACCAGGTGGGTGGGTGGGGGTGTGTGTAACATGTAGCTTCTAGAAGCCTCGGTTTTCTGCTCTGTGAAAATGGGGACAGTGACAGAGCGTCCCTCCAAGGGACGCTGTGATGGAGAAATGAGGTTGTGCGTGTCTACCCACCACCATCTCAGGCACATCAAAAATGCAAACTGTTCTTGCCTTCTTTTGACAGATACAGCACACCCGCGCTGTGCCAGGCATCGATGGGGGCCTGGGGCTAGATCAGAAAACATAATAGGTGAATTCCTCTCTTCTCGGAGCTAACATTCGAGAGGGGGGTGGGAGGAGACAGACCCCGCACTCAACACAACGAGCATGACTTAAAAAGTAAGTTGTATAGTGTAGTGGTTCTCAGCCGGGGGCAATCGTATCCACCCGGGGACATATGGCAATGCCTGGAGACATTATTGGTTGTCACAACTTGGGGGGCTTGTGTGAGTGTGCGCGCGTGCGCACCTGTGCTTCTGGCATCTAGTGGGTAGGGGCCAGGGTTGCTGCTCAAAACCCTACAACTCACAGGACAGGCCCCATAGCATAGTGAGCTGGCCCCAAATGTCCATAGTGCCAAGGGTGTGAACCTTAGTACAGTATATGAAAAAGTCCTAAGTGGTTCAAAACCAGCCTGAGCAAGAGCAAGACCCGGTCTCTACTAAAAATAGAAACAAATTAATTGGCCAAATATATATATATATATATATCTTCGCCGGGCATGGTGGCGCATGCCTGTAGTCCCAGCTACTCGGGAGGCTGAGGCAGGAGGATCACTTGAGCCCAAGAGTTTGAGGTTGCTGCGAGCTAAGCTAATGGCATGGCACTGCAGCCCAGGCAACAGAGTAAAACTCTGCCAAGAAAGAAAGAAAGAAAGAGAGAAAGAGAGAGGAGAGAAGGAGAGGAGAGAAAAAGAGAGAGAGAAAGAGAGAGAGAGAGAAAGAAAGGAAAGAGAGAGAGAGAAAGGAAGGAAGGAAGGAAGGAAGGAAGGAAGGAAGGAAGGAAGGAAGAAAGAAAGAAAGAAAGAAAGAAAGAAAGAAAGAAAGAAAGAAAGAAAGAAAGAAAGAAAGAAAGAAAGAAAGAAAGAAAGTTAGTTTGGCAAGATACAGGATACAGGGCTTGGGAATGCTGGGATGAGCCAGCGAGCAGTGTGTAGGGTGGCCAGAGTGAGCCCGGCTGAGAAGGTAAAATGGTATTATTATTTTTTTAATGAAACACTCTCGTAGATAGAGCAACACACCCTGTCTTCTAAAACCTCTCAACAGGTCTCAGGCATAACATCATCCAAATTTCATTTAAAAATTTTATTCGATACCTATTTATTCATCTTTTTCCAGGAATGAGAGAAAATTCTATGACGGAATGAAATGAAAAAATAAGAAGGTTTTTGTTTGTTTGTTTTTAAAAAAGAAAAGAAGACAATGGAGAAATGGGGGAAAGGAATAAATCCGGACCGGGCTTGCATAACAATATTCAGACCAGGGTGCTGGACTCCATAAAAGCATTTCCTGGTCTTGTTGCGGCAGGAAATAAGGTCAGACACCAGTGATGAGCAATGCACTCTTCCCGAGCGATGACTTGAGGAGGACATGCAGGAGCAAGTGCTCATGATTTTCCATAAATACAGTAGCAGTTTTCTGCCACTAGGCTAAGGGTAGATGACTACATGGCCAGGCACAGTTTTAGTAAAAGCTGGTGGCCTCAATTCAAAACAAATGACAGTCACCGCTATTGGGGTCTTTTAGCATGTTTCAAGAAGCAGGGATTTGGGGATGCTGTATTTTCTAGGGGAAATACAGCAGAAATAGCACAGCAATAAGAATAACACTAAGAAAACACTGTGAGTGCTTACAATAAACTTTAAGACCTGGGGGAAACAGTTTTCTGACAAAAAATAACCCAAGCAAAAATAGAAAGTCCAAACAAACAGTCATCAAGAAGAGAGTAGAAAGGTGACTGAAGAGCTATCATTCTAAAAAGGCACCTGGCCCAGATAGTATTATAGGGTCTCCCTGAATCCTAGAGTCCTGGTTTTATCCTGCTTCAGGCTCTTCTGTTTGGACTCTCCACTTGGCTGGATAGATCTTAGCTTGTTTTCCACCATTTTCTTGATGTTGTTTGCTGCTCTAATCTCTGCAACCCTCGAGCCTCATATGATACTCCATAGGCAGGGCCAACTCTAAGGAAACTTGCCTGAGAGCTAGGCTAGTCCCAATCCCTCTCCACCTCCAGTCTGCACAGTGATTTGGATCAGGATTTGGATCAGGAACAACACAAGCAAGCTGGTTGGCATAGTGTTTAAACTATACTGTTTAGCATAGTGTTTGAGATCCTAGCAAAAGGTATAAGACAAGAAAAGACTGTAAACGGTGTAGGGATATCAGAAGGGAAGAGAGAAAACCATTATTGTTCTTAAATAAAATGATCACTCACTTAGAAGCATTATCATAAACATTGGAACTATAAAAAGTATTTAATAGACTGATCATCTTACTAAAATTAGCAGAAACAATAAACTAGAAAGCTAATGGAAAACAAGACCTTTAAAATACCAACTCAAACTGTGTCTAAGAACCAACGCAATGAAGAATTTACAACCTTAGCAAAGAAAAAAATTTAAATTATGTTAAAGATCTATTTTTAAAATAATTTAGATAAACAGAGATCTTTAATAGTCCCAGAAGTTAGATGAATTAACATAGTAAAAGTGCCAAGTCCTCCCAGTTTAATCTACAAGTTCATCGCAAATCATATAAAAATTCCAGCTCCTCCAATTTTTGAGGATCTCAATAAACTTATTCTAAAATGTGTATGAAAGTGTAAAGTTCTATGGATTGCAAGCCAACGCTGAGGGGGAAAAAAACTCAATATAGAAAGACTCGCCCTACCAGATAAGAACTATAATACCATAAACCATTAATTTAAAAAATATTACAATGTTGGCGCAGAAGAAAGCAAACAGATTAAATAGAAAAAAATCAGACATGACTAGATTACATAGAACACAATGCCGGGAAAACATTTTCCAAGAAAACAGGAGGTCCCTGCTCCTCTTCCTGTAAGTCTCTTTGTGCTGAGACGTAAGACTCGTGCTGCCTTCGTCATCAGAAAGTGAATTTGAGAAAGCAGGAGCTGGAAGCTGATTTAGCAGCAGAGCTTTACCACGGGTCCGAACTTTGTGGTGGGTACATCCTTATTCTTGGTTTCCCGAGAAGAGCTCAGAGAGGAAAACCATAAAACCATAAGCGTTGCACAATCTCTCCGGCCACAGTGACCATCGGAATATGGTCTGGGGAAAGGATTTGGATGGAGGAGAAAGAATGAGTTCATTTGGGGGGGTCAGAGGGGGTGTTCTGGAGGAGGTGGCATTGGAACTGTGCCTTTGGGGACATGTGCAGTGTGGACGGGAAGAGGAAGGGCGCAGCAGACGCAGGGCACAGCCAGGGGGAAGGGAAAGGGGGCAGGAGAGTGGGTCTGCCCTGCGTATGGCTGTGGCTGACGCTGCCTTGGGGACCCAGGCGGAGCTGTCCAGCTCGGCGACCAAGCGGAGGCAGCCCATGCCCCGTGCTGTGCCCACGACTCGCTGCAGGAGAAGTCAGAGGAGAAGAGAGGCCCCAGGGTGGAGGGGGCAGCTGACCTCTAACCTCTAGCCCTGGCCCAGGACAGGGAGGGGAGACCCGTTTCTGGGGGTCTCAGCACAGTAGGGAACGTGTAACCAGGGTATCTGAAGACAGTGTGTTGAGTCTGGGACGTTCGGGGGATGATGAGAACCACTGGAGACACCGGACTGACCCTGGAGGATCTGGGAGGGCTTCCTGGAGGAGGCGACGCCTGGAGGAGGAGTCAGAATTATTCTGGAGGAGACGGAGACATGAAACAATGTTCCCAACGTGGCATCCGCACGTGCAGAGATTGGGAGAACAGGACTCGTTGGAGAAGCCGAGACTGATTCGGGGGCCATCGTCCGGGGCTGGGGTGTCAGCCGGGGCCGGATCACACAAGGACCCGAATGACAGGGACACGGGGTTTGGATGAATGTGGGAAGAAGGTGAAAGTCCCAGGGCCGCTCTGTGGCTTCCATTCTCTGCAGAAACGAGTTCGGCCGAGGCGGGGCGGATTGCTCAAGGTCAGGAGTTCGAAACCAGCCTGAGCAAGAGCGAGACCCCGTCACTACTATAAAATAGAAAGAAATTAATTGGCCAACTAATATATATAGAAAAAAAAATTAGCCAGGCATGGTGGCGCATGCCTGTAGTCCCAGCTACTCGGGAGGCTGAGGCAGGAGGATCGCTTGAGCCCAGGAGTGTGAGGTTGCTGTGAGCTAGGCTGACACCACGGCACTCACTCTAGCCTGGGCAACAAGCGAGACTCTGTCTCAAAAAAAAAAAAAAAAAGTAAATTCATTGTAACAAATACAGTGGGTCCCACGTCCCCCTCCCTGCTCTCACTCCCCTTTCCTTCCCCAAGGCAGCTGCCCTCCCCAACTTGGTGTTTGACATATTTAAAAATATTGTAATCATGCGCACCCCATAGACAATCTATGTGGTTGTTTGGCACACCTGGGAGCTTTGTAAAAATGTCACCACGTGGTCTCTCTCCTTCCACAACCTATTCTTGTCCCCTCCATATTGCAGTCACAGGACGTATCTATTCAACGCTCATTCTTCATTTAAAAAGAAAGATAAACACAAGACAGCAAACGCTTTTTTTTTTCTTTTGAGATCAGTCTCCTTCTCTTGCCAGGCTAGAGGTGAGTCTGCCGTGGCGTCAGCCTAGCTCACAGCAACCTCAACTCCTGGGCTCAAGCAATCCTCCTGCCTCAGCCTCCCGAGTGGCTGGGACTACAGCATGCCCACCATGCCGGCGTAATTTTTTATATATATTTGGCCAATTAATTTCTTTCTTTTATAGTAGAGACGGGTGTCCCTCTTGCTCAGGCTGTTTCGAGACTCCTGACCTCAAGCAATCCCCCTGCCTCGCCTCCTAGAGTGTAGATTACATGCGTGAGCCACCACGCCCGGCCAGCAAATGCTTTTAAACCAAAGAATAGAATAAAGTCTCCTTAATTTGAGACGGGGCAATTTCCAGGGTCCTATAGACACGTCCTAATTATTTGTAAAATATGAGAACCCTTTTTGGCGAAATCAAGAACAAAATGAAGGTGTCCACTGTGTAGAAGGTTGAATTGTGCCCTCCCAAGAGATGCTGAAACCCCAACTTCGTCTGGTTCCTGAGACTTTATTCGGAAACGGGGTCTTTACAGATGTACCTGAGTTATGACAAGGTCTTCAGAGTGGGCCCTACCAGGCTTCTGAGACCAGCCTGGGTGACAGAGCGAGACCCTGTCTCTACGATAAACAGAAATTAGTCGGGCATGGTAATGTGTGCCTACAGTCCCAGCTACTCGGGAGGCTGAGACAGGAGGATCACCTGAGCCCAGGAGTTTGAGGCTGCAATGAGCCGTGATCACACCGCTGCACTCCAGCCTGGGTGACAGAGTGAGACTCTGTCTCAAAAAAAAAAAAAAAAAAAAAAAAAAAAGGTAGAAGAGTCATAGCAAGAGTATGTATGAGGCTCATAACTAAGATCTGTATAAATAAAGACACGCGGGCGGCGGGTTGGCTCACGCTGTAATCTAGCACTCTAGGGAAGCTGAGGGGGGCGGATCTGCTCAAGGTAGGAGGTATCTGAAACAGCCTGAGCAAGAGGAGACCCCCGTCTCTAACTATCTAAATAGAAGAAATTAATTGGCAACTAACATATATAAAAAAAGCATTAGCAGCTCCAAGGTTGGTCTCAATGCCTGTAGAAGTGTACTCCAGGGCTTTAACTCGGAGGCTGAGGCAGTTGGTGGATTTGCTGTTGCCAGGACGTGTGAGGTTCTAGGAGCTACTGCTGCAGTGACACGGCGGTTAGCGGTGTGCTAACATGAGCAGATCTCTTGTTGCATAATAGGAAAAGAGAAAAGAAGGAAGAGAGACAGTATGAGCTCACAAAAAGGACACTCCATACTTTAAAGAGGTTAATTCTTCCCAAGGTCATTTATAGATCACCATGCTGTAGCACAATCCCATAATTTCATGGCGCCTCAGCATCCAGTCCGAATACAAGCTGCACCTTCTCCTGCCAGAAGCGGGGCTCCTCCACTGCCCAGTTTCCAGTTCCCCTCCTCCTCTCAGTTGCTCAACGGGGTCGACCCGGGTATCTGCTCCATACAACTTCCTCCTGGGGACCCCTCCCTGGACACAGGCTCCGTGACTGGCCTGCCGCCCCTGCCATCCTGCTTGGACAGAGAAGATGCGTCCCACCGACCGCCTCTCAGTCTCAGTGTGACCTCCTGGAACCCGTGCCAGCTGAAATCTCCCCTGCAGGACATCTCTTTGGGTAAAGCCATGGACCCCAGTAAAGGCATTGCTCACGGGCCTCTCTCTCTCTCTCTCTCTCTCTCTCTCTCTCTCTCTCTCCCCCCTGTCCCCTCAAGTGTTCCCTGAGCTCCCCGCGTGGCCTCTGGACTTGCCTTGTACCTCCCAGGACCCGTAAGTAATAAAATCTTAATTTCCCTCTTCTGTCTCTCCTCATCACGGAAGGGCGCTCTCCATCCTAAAGATCCCAAATTAAAACCAATGCCACCCCAATAACAACCCCAAAGAGATTTTTTTTTGAAAGAGTTTTTCTTTTATTGTGGTGAAGCATACATAACATAAAATGCATCATTTTATCTTTGCCTGTTCACAGTGAGAGAAATCACGTGGATACAGTGTCATCATCATACTCATGTCATGTTAATGATATTGCAATCTTTAATGCAGCCATTTTAATGCAAAAGAGTGCTGATGTCCCAAAGAAAGCACTGGGCACCTTTCCAGGGCCCAGTAGTAATCTTGGCAGTGCTTCATCTACTTTTAACATGTCACTGAGCTCCAAGGTAGCGCGGCACAGGGTTCCCCTATGCCTACTGGGGGATTGCATTTCCCCCTCACTCTGACTGTTTGGGGTTCAACCCAGAATCCCACAGGTGACAGGGCTCCGTCCCACAAGACAGAACCTGCTGCAGATGCCAGCTGCAAGGGGTTCCCAGGCCACTTGCATTTCTACCTAGCTCATGACAAATTGAGGGTTCCCACCACCCCCTCTCGGGTTCAGGAACTTGCCAGAATGACCCATAAAACTCAGGACAACACTGCCATGGCCCATTTGCAGGACAGGGGATGAACACAGAACACAAAAAGACTCACACACACACACACAAAGACGGTTACAAGACTGCAGTGCCGAACACACCAGACATTTTATTTTTATAACCTAAAATATCAAAGTTACTTCCTTCTATGTCACCACCCGGGCATTGCAGCAGTGGCCATACATTCCGGAACATGTAGCCTAAGGACACAGATGTCCCCTGACTCAAGGTTTCCAGGCAATTGCTCCAGGCGCCAGGCATAGATCACAGTCCGAGATTAGCAAGATTGGGCAAGGCAGCCAGCCACAGGGGGCATTTTTGTCCCCAGTTCCTCTTAGGCTGATCCCCTGCGGCTGTGCATGGCTTAGGTCGCCCCTCCCTTGAGGGTTCTTACTCGTCATTGACTAACCAGCCATCTTATGGAGCTAAGCAGCAATCAAAGGAACAATATGTTTACTGTGTGGCCTCCACTTATCGTGGGGCTGGGCAGCTCTTGCTTCAATGCAGAAACTCAGGCCTATTGTTATACCTCTAGGCAGCAACCTTGTCCAGAGCACATTACTCTTAAACGTTCTGGGCAGGACACGTACATTACTCACTAAATTTAACCCTTTGCACTTGCTTGCTTTTTTCTCATTATCCACTTGACATTATCCACACTCCAAATCCGAGTGCAAAGGGTTAATTCTTTTTTTTTTTTTTTTTGAGACAGAGTCTCACTTTGTTGCCCATGCTAGAGTGAGTGGTCGTAGCCGCTCAGCCTAGCTCACAGCAACCTCAAAATCTCTGGCTCAAGCGATCCTGCCTGCCTCGCCTCCCAAGTACTGGCGGGACTACAGGCATGCACCACCATGCCCGCTAATTTTTTCTACTTATATTAGTTGACCAATTAATTTCTTTCTATTTATACGTAGAGACGGGCGCCGCTCCTTGCTCAGGTTGGTTTTGAACTCCTGAACTCAAATGATCCGCCCACCCTCTGGCCTCCCAGAGAGCTAGGATTACAGCCGTGAGACACCTGCCGGCAAGAGGTTAATCTTAACAAGAAGTGATCAATGTCAGTCCCCAACACAACTCTTTGCCTGTATGTATCAATTTATTATAAAGGATGCAACTCAGGAACAGTCAAACAGAAGAGATGCAGGAACAACAACAAAATAGATAGATGTGGGGGGTGTTGGGGGTGCCATGCTATCTATGGGTGTCACTGGGTAACCGGGCATTTCATTCCCTGGCGCTCCCAGCTGCAAGATGCCTTCTTGTAGCAGCAAGTGCTCGGTCAAAGGTGTGCAGGGCATGGCAGGTGGAAGGGGAGCGGAAGAAGGGGTGAAGCCCGGGGGCATGGCAGGTACACATGGCCACTCAAACGTTCTGATCTTGGAGAGGAGAGTCGATTGCCAGAGCACACCCGCCCCTGCGTGTGCCCACACCAGGCCACTGTGAAAGCTCCCGGGATGGGCAGGAAGCGCGACCTCTGACCTAGGAGGACCCCCAGGCATCGGAGGAGGGACAGAAGGGGACCCGGGCCCATGGGGGAGGAGGAATCTTACAGAGAGCAGACCCAGGGCGTTGTTAAGGTCTGGGGGCAAGGAGAAGGCACCCCGCCCCAAGAGTGGGGGACGTTCTGCTATTGAGCAGACAGGGTTGGGGCAGCGGTGGAGGCGGGAACCCGCCCTTGCTCGCTGGGGCAGGAGGCCGCAGACATTTTGCAGATCCAGAATTTGGCATGATTACACTGGCTGTCATTCCACCCCTTGCTGAATAATTCCACACAGTCTTCCTCCCCAATGTTGTTGGGCTCCCCGCTGTTCCAGTGCTTGGTGAAGCTGCAAGCGCGGGCAGGGCGTGAGCGTCCGTCCTCGCCCCTCTACAGGAGCGGCGCTTCCACCTGCTGGGAACCTGGTGCTTCCGCACCTGCCTGCGTCCCTCTGCCGGACAGCCTTTGCCCTGGACAACCCATAGTATGCCCCAGACACGGTGCCTTGGCCTCCTGCCCCCTGTGGTGCCCCTGCTGGGGAGCAGTCCTTGTCCCGCAGTGGGGTGACTTTCACACAGGCACCAGCCAAGCCGGAGCCCCCACCCCACCCCCTCCCTTCCTGGGCTCTCCAGTGCGGGCCCCTGTCCCCTGTCCTGATCACCCCGGGGCCAGGTGCCAGACAGCTGGGGCAGCCCCTGCGCCCAGGGCCGGGGACACCCCTGCAACGGCCCCTCTAAGGCTGCTCGCCCTGCCCCGCCCCAGCCTCCCCGCAGAGCCCCACTGCCCGGTGGTCCCTGGGCCTCAGGAGCCGCCCCGTGACCCACCCAGGTGGGGTGGGAGCTCGCGTTTGGGATCTGGGAGTGGGACCAGGTATCTTCACAACGGCAGCTGGCTCTGAGCCCTTGGCCTCACTCGACCTCCCACTGCGATTCGGACACGATACTTGAAACACCCGCCCGGCGCCACGCTCCTGCTTCAGCCCTGACGGTGGGACTTTGCAGCGACGCGGACGTCGCTGTCTGGGCGTGAGTGTGAGACCACCTTCCTCTGACAGTCGGGCGCTGAGACGGCCCGCCCGCTGAGGGGTCAGGCAGGGGGGCGGGATCCCCAGGGAAAGCTCTAGAACCCCCGCCCGTCCCCCACAGGTGTCCCCTGCTGCCGGGTCTACCTGGGCGGAAGAGGCGAGCCGTCCACCCACTGCCACGAGCCTTCCTGGGTCATGTCTGACATCCCGATCCAGGATACGCGGTTCCTCCAAGAACTCTGCAGCTGTAGAAAGTTCTGGGAGGGGACGGGGGGGGGGGGGACACGGGGGGAGTCAGAGGGGAGCTCCGCTTCCCATTGGCCAGGCTCCGTGCCTGCCCACCTCTTGGCAGGAAGTTCTGCTTTCAGTCTAACCTTCAGCCTCTAGTCTACCGGGTCGGGAGCCCCCACGTGTCCGAGTCCCTCTCACATCTGCGTCCCATGCACATGGGTTCTGACTGACACGCCTACCTGCACCGCTGGCCTCTCACACACACGCGGAAATACAGTGTTTTCTTGTGTTTTTGCGTGAATTCACTCATGACGGGCTTTAATGTTCTGCAGACAGAGCGTACCAGTTGGTGACTGGGGGTCAAGCACGTCTCTTTTCAGCTGCGCAGTGAGCGACGTCACATCAGTCACTTGAAATCAGCCACAGGGGGAATGTTTACACCAGGGAAATTGGCAAGCCCTACACCTGACGACTTACTCCCCCAGAGAGCTGCCTGTTAGGGGTGTGCAGCACGCCGCTGGGCTTCCGTGCCTGCGCCGTGCGCCCTAAGCAGGTGTTCAGAATCTGTCCCTCCTTGCGAGGTGCTTGGGACCCCCTGTGTGTACCCTTCTCCTCCTGCCTTTCCAAGTGAACAAGCAGCCCCACTGCCGGACGGGCCTCTCTGGGCACCTGCGGCCACGCTGGCCAGTGGCCCCCTGCATGCCCCAGGCCAGGACGGGGCCTTCAGGTGTACCTGCTCCTCATCGCCTTTGATGACCACCAGCTGGGCCCCCACGTCCTGGCAGGCGCTGATGGAGTCGTGCCAGTTCCGTTGGGAGTTGGAGAAGAAGTAACAGTTTCCTTGGAAGAATGTCCAGTCCCAGGGACAGGGGCAGCACAGGTGGTCTGTTGGGGCAGGTGGCCATGGCTGGGACCCAGATCTGCATGCCCAAAGTCCGGCACCTGCCACCCTTCAAGCCCTTGGGGGTTGGGGCCCTTCCCTGACTGCCCATGCTGGGTGGGACATCCCCCCTCCACATCCTGAGATGTTCCCATTCCTAGGAGAACCCAGGAGTCCTGGCCCCCTCTCCTCCAGACTGGGACAAGTAGGGCATTTACAGCTCAGGCCGGCAGCCAGGAGACCGGCTTAACTGAGTGCCTACTGTATACCTGCTCCCTGTGAACACCAACTGCAATTGTGCCCATTACCCTTTGTTCCCATTTCACAGATGTGGAAACTGAGGCTCAGAGAGGGTTCGTGACATTAGCAAAGTCACAGCCCATGGAGACCCAGTCAGGCCCAGGACCCCTGGTGACTTGTCACTCACCGACTGCAGCCTTCAGCTGGGCCATGTCCTGATAGATCTTCTCCTGCCTGGATCTCTCTGGGAACTCACCAACTGCAGCCTTCAGCTGGCTCAGTTCCTCGTAGATCTCGTCCTGCCTGGAGTGCTCCTGCCCCAGGAAGCTGGGGAGCTTGGAGACTGTGCCAGCAAGCAGGAACTGCAATTAGTAAACACCTACTGTGTGCCACACCCTGCACTGGCCTCTAGGGACATGGATTCTGAGAGCCAACGTCTTGGTTAATCCCCTCTGAAAATGAGGAAGACTGATACCTGAGAGGGCAGCCCAGAAGGGCAAGGGGAGCCCGGTCCTTCCTCCTCCTCCTTCCTCCCCTCTCCTCCCCCGAGTGGGAGGGGCCATGGCAGAGACCCCTGGAAAGCCCAGGGACCCGATGCCTGCTTTCAGGCCCACCTGCGTCCTGGAACTGGTCACCCCTGGCTCTTTCCACAGCCAAAGACACAAGCTGGGACCCAGACCAAAGAGCCTTCCTGACCTTGGACGACGATGGTCACCAGGAGCACAGCAAGGAGCAGGAAGGCCAGGAACGGCAGCACCAGGGGGCCGCGGCCCAGACACCCTGTTGGGGGTAGGAGGGTTGGCCGAGCATGCCGGCGTCCCCTCCTCAGCCTGGCACAGAGACAGCCTGGCCCCCGCACCCACCTCCCCTGCACCCAGGAGTCCAGACAGGCATCCCTAGTCCCCCCAAGACCCTAGAGTCCCTGAGGCTCTCTCCATCTTCCCCGCCCCCTAACCCTTTCCTACCTGCAGAGCTTCTGGGCCCAGGAGTCTTCTGGGATCCCATGTGTCTTGCAAAAAATCTACAGCTGCTGCCTGTCAGCTGTTCCTCCTCTGCGTGGGCAGACATCAACTCAGAGCCTGGGCACGCTGAGGCCAGAGCTGGCCACCCCCTGGGTCCCCCTCCCCTGCATCCCAGAGTCCCACCCCAGCCTCACCCAGGAGACCCAGCTCTTTGGTGTCACTCATGTCCTCAATGTCCAGGTGTCCTGCGAACCACGGTTTTCATTCCCCACACCACGGTCCTCAATCCTTAAATCTACTCTCACACAGGAAGAGAAACAGGAACATGGGTAGGGATGCGGAAAGGCCAGTGGGAGGGGTCAGAAATGGGATGGGCCACACCACCCAGGAATTTCAGGGAGGTGGTGAGGGGTGGCCAGGGGTCCACAGGGAGAAGGACTTGTCCACTCCTGGGGTGGCCGAGCTGTGGGAGGCTGTCAGTGAAGTCCAGTATCTTGTAACAGAAAGCTACGTCTTTACACCCTCCACCTGGGGTGGCGGCGGGAGGGGGGCAGGCAGTGCCCCCACTTTTCCTGGAACTACCAGCCCTCTGACCTCTAGTCTTTGCTGCTTTGTTCTGCTGATGTCTTCATTTCTGGTGATTTCTGCTGACTTTGGGAGTTGGAGCTGAATGATAGTTACTTGTTTATTTACTGCCCATTACAATTGAGTAGTTTCCCAACTGCTTTATACACTCATTCATGTAATCTTCCTAACGTGTGGCAGGTCATAATCCTCCCTTTTAAAGGAGGGGGAAACTGAGGCACTTTGGGGTTAGGTCACTGGCCCAACGTCACACAGCTAGTAAGTGGTGGAGCTGGGACTGGAACCCAAACAGTCCTCCTCCACAGGCCTCTCTGTTAACCAGAGAGAGAGTCAAATAGTGTCACAGAGGAAACAGAAAAGTATTCATGGTACCTTTATTCAGAATAGTCCCAAACTGGAACAACTCACATGGCCAACAGCAGTAGAATGAAAAAAAGAATGGTGGCATATTGACAGTGGGGAATACTATACAGCAACGAAAAAGCAAAGTACCGATACATGCAACAACATGGATGAGTCTCACAAAAGAGTGAAAGGACCCAGAGCAAATGAGTACACTGCATAAGATTTGATTTCATATGAATTTCAAGAAAGGGCAGAACTAGCCTTGGTGGGAACTGAAAATGGAGTTGCCTGGGAGGAATCGGTGGAGATTGACCAGGAGGGGGTAGAATGGATTCTTCTGTGTGATGGAAATGTTCCACATTTTGATCAGAGGAGTGCTTGCAGGCATGAATCTGTATGTGAAAATGTCTTGAGCTGTGTGTTGCAGACTGGTGCATTGTATTGTAAGGGTGTCCTATTTCAATTTAAAAATGGACAATACAGGCCAGGCGTGGTGGCTCACGCCTATAATCCCAGCACTCTGGGAGGCCAAGGTGGGAGGATCGCTCAAGGTCAGGATTTTGAGACTAGCCTGAGCAAGAGCCAGACCCTGTCTCTACTAAAAATAGAAAGAAATTAGCCAAACAACTAAAAACAAATAGAAGAAATTAGCTGGGCATGGCGGCGCATGCCTGTAGTCCCAGCTACTTGGGAGGTTGAGGCAGGAGGATCGCTTGAGCCCAGGAGTTTGAGGTTGCTGGCACTCTAGCCCGGGCAACAGAGTGAGACTTGTCACAAAAAAAAAAAAAAAAAAAAAAAAGGACAATACAGTGTGTGATGGTTGAGTAGAGGCACACAGGACTCGTCTCCTCCTTAAAGAAAGAGTAGATGATCACACTTCAAGTTGAGCATCCGAGAGAGAATTCAGCAGAGAGATGAGAGGACACCTCTAGGCATGCAAGGACGTGGGCATGTCCCCCGTCCAGCAATCGGGCCGCGGTGACCTTGCACCCATTGTGGCCACCACCACTGCTGCTGCCACCTGAGTATGCCACGCACAGACCTGGGTATTGTCCTGCCCTGTCCACACCCCAACACCATCCGACGGTCTCACAACCGGCCCAGGACGACTGCCACGGGCACCCAAGCACACTGTCCAGAGACCTGGGTTCACCTCACCCACTGGCATCTGCACCCTCCTCCCAGGGCCCCAAGGACGGGTACTCTCGGGCTGATGCTGTTGCCACTGAGATCCAAGGACTGGCCCACCTGGTGGCCCTCTCCCCAGCAAAGCCTCCTCCACTAACAAATACAGCCTAAGCCACCGAGGAAATTACAGGCGCCACTCATGAGATTTACATCCAAAGAAATCACACAGGGACTCCACCGCTGCATGCACCCAGAGGGAAAGCTACACGCCCCACCCAGCTAACACCACAGATATGTCAACAGGGAAATGTCTTCCCCTATGAAAGCCATTGTCAAATACTGGAATAAGTGGCATTACACCAAATGCAGATATATCAATATAGGGACCTAAGAAACATGAAAAAGCAAGGAAATCTGACATCTTCAAAGGAACACAATAACTCTCCAATAATAGATTCCGAATAAAGAAGAAATGTATGAAATGCCTGAAAAAGAATTCAAAATAACGGATATTAAAGAAGCTCAGTGTGATACAAACCGGCACAGGTTGGCCAGCTGTGGTGGCTGAAACCTGTAATTCCAGTACTCTGGGATGCTGGGGGCGGGGATTGATTGCTTGAGGTCAGGAGTTCAAGTTGAGCCTGAGCAAGAGTGAGACCCTGTCTCCACTAAAAATAGAAAAATTAGCCAGGTGAGGTGGCACATGCCTGTAGTTCCAGCTACTTGGGAGGCTGAGGCAGGAGGATGAGTCCAGCCCAGGAGTTTGAGGTTGCTGTGAGTCATCATGATTCCATCACTGGGGTGATGGAGAAAAGCTGTGTCTCCAAACAAACAAAGAAAACAGAGTGAGCACAGATAAACAATACAAAAACCAGCTGGATGTGGTGACATGTGCCTGTGATTCTAGATACATGGGGGAGGCTGAGACAGGAGGATCACTTGAGCCCAGGAGTTGCAGACTAGCCTGGGCAGTATAAAGAGATCCTGCCTCCAAAACAAAAGCAAAAATGCAAAGAAACCACAACAACAATCCACTATATGAACAAGAAACTCACCAAAGGGATAGATAACCATAAAAAAGAACCGAAGAAATCCTCGAACTGAGGAATTCAATGAACGAAATAAAAAATACAATTGAGGGCTTCAATAATAGACTAGATGAAGCAGAAGAATTTCAGAACTTGAACATATGATCTTTGAAATACCTCAGTCAGACAGAAAAGAAAGAAAGAGAAAGCATTTGAACAAAGCATGAAGGAAGCCTGCAAGACTTATGGGGACACCATAACGTGACCAAATATTTAAGTCGGGCATACCCATAGAGAAGGGAAGTATAAAGGCATAGAAAACCCATTTAACAAAATAATAACTGAAAACTTCCCAAGCCTAGAAAGAGATTTAAACATCCAAGTACCAGAAGCTGAGAGAATTCCAAATAGCTACAACACGAGGTCTTACCCAACACCCATTATTGTGAAAGAGTCAAAGGTCAAACACAGAAAATTATCAAGACAGCGAGAGAGAAACATCTGGTCGCATATAAGGGAACCCCGATCGGATTATGTTTCAAGTTCCTAGGCCAGTAAGATTTGCTGACCAGAACTTTGCAAATTTCTATTTCACTGAATCATCGCCTATTTAGGTTTTTTTTTAAAGACACAGCTGGACCTCCTTGCAGCCACGAGATATCTACAATGCCACTGGCCACCTGTTTGTTCAGAGAAGTCAGTACATAGGGTACCCCAGCACAGATTTGCCTGGGGATCCTCTGAGCAACCTACTCCCCACATCTTGCCTGTGCACAAGACCAAAAGAATGACCAATATTAAACCCTAGCTCATACTACTGAAATCTCCACCCTGGGAGAGGCTTAGCCGCCATTTTCTGATCATGTCATGTATGTGCCAGTATGATTTCTCACTGCACTTGCGTGCTCTGCACCCTGCCCCGCATGTGTAATGGTGCTCGCTCACTTCACGCATTGTTCATGTCACCTCTAGAAAATCCCCTGGCCCTGCCAGCTGGGGAGGCAGATGTGAGGCAGTTCTTCCACATACTGGCTGATGTCCTCTGCAATGGGTCTCCTTTCTTCCTTGACAATGCTCATTGTCTCAGTAACTGCCTTTCTGTGCAGTGAGCAACTGAGGCTAGGGAATGCCCTCTGTGGGTTTGTCGACAGTTCCTCCATGTCTTTGCATGGCTTGAGAGCTCTTTTCTTTTCTTTTCTTTTCCTTTTCCTTCCTTCCTTCCTTCCTTCCTTCCTTCCTTCCTTCCTTCCTTCCTTCCTTCCTTCCTTCTTCTCTCTCTCTCTCTTTCTTTCTTTCTTTCTTCTTTTTCTTCCTTTTTTTTTGAGAGTCCATTTCTTGTCTGGGTATGCCACAGTTTATTTATCCACTCACCTACAGAAGGACACCTTGGTTGCTTCCGAGTTTGGGCAGTTATGAATGAACTACGATGAACATCCCTGGGCAGGTTTCTGGGTGTTTTCAGTTTGTTGGAGAATTTTCAACATGGTGTGGATGGGTCTCACGGGAGGGATATGGTACCTTTGCAATTTAGTCTGTATCTCTGAGATAATTCCGTCCTTTTCTTCTATTTCTTCCTGAGTTGTTTAAACTCTCTCTTTATTTTCCCCTATTTTCTATTCTGCTCCCTTCAGCGCTTAGCTTTTTAGTGTGTAGATTTTTGACTGAAGGTCATTTTTCATATCCTCAAATGCTTGTTTGACTGTGTTTAATTTTTATGGGGATGTTGACCTAACAATGTTCCTGGGCTTCACCACCCTTTTGTGGCGGCCAGGGCAGGGGTGTGGGGGTGAGTACTTTCCCGTAGTTGATTTGCATGGAATTTCATTTACTGAATTTTTGCAACGACTCCCTATGGATTCAGCACTTTTCTTTTGTTCATTTTTAGTGACTGGGTTATTTTCACAAAAGATCCAGATTAAGCATATCCACTTCTGTCAATATAGCAACATCAACTTATTTTAGTGGAACCTTCTGTTTGTCTTCTTGGCCATGGGAATGGATGGTGAGACCTCCAATTTTGTGATTCTCTTTTGTGTTAAAGGGCTCTAAATAATCGTTATTTACTTCCAGCTCTGCTCTCTTTGTTTTCACTTTTTTCTCCCAGGAGCTATGCTTCTTCTTCTTCTTCTTCTTCTCCTCCTCCTCCTCCTCTTCCTCTTCCTCCTCCTCCTCCTCCTCCTCCTTCCTCTTCTTCTTCCTCCTCCTCCTCCTCTTCCTTCTTTCTTCTTTTTTCCTTTTTTAGAGACAGGTGTCACTGTGTCACCCAGGCTGGAGTACAGTGGCATAATCATAGCTCACTGCAGCTTTGAAATCCTGGGCTCAAGCGATCCTCCTGCCTCAGCCTCCTGAGTACCTGGGACCACAGGTGAACGCCACCACAACTAGGGGAATCTTGTTATTTTTATTTTTGTAGACATGGGGTCTCACTATGTTGCCCAGGCTGGTCTCAAGCTCCTGGCCTCAAGCGATCCTCCTGCCTCAGTCTCCCAAAGTGCTGGGATGACAGGTCTGATCTTCCGAGCCTGTCCCCCGGAGCATTTGAAGACTACCTCTCAGTTCTTGTAAGTTTCAGCATTCTCTGTCTTCCAGTTAAGCATGCGTCCGCATGGCTGTGCTTTCTCCTCTTGTTGTTTTGCATTCTTTTAGGAGGCAATATTTGGAAGACAGACAGCTAAGTGGCTGAGTGGGCACCAACGGCCTCACCATCAGGGGACACTTTGACATTGTTCAATCTTATGATACAGATGGACAATGTGACTAGCACCAGACAACACGAGCAGTACTTTTAGCATTTTCTAGGCTCACAGGGAACCTGAGTTGACCTTATTTGCCAGCCTGAGTACTGACCTCAGCCAAAGAAGTGAGGGGTGTTTGGTGGAGGGTGAGGTACAGGGCAGTAGGGATTATGACTTCAGTAAACCCAACTGGTGTCACAAGAGTGCTAAGGAGACCTGGCACAGTGGCTCAGGACTGTAATCCTAGCACTCTAGGAGGTCGAGGCAGGAGGATTGCTTGGGTCCAGGAGCTTGAGGTTGCTGTGACCTGGGTTGACGCCACGGCACTCTAGGTCAGGCAAGAAAGCAAGACTCTGTCTCAAAGAAAAAAAAAAAAAACGGTGCTAAGGAAAGGCAGTGTAATAGTTAATATTTTAGCTTTTTTCAGAGTAGCCAAAGGGAGGAAACCACCCAAGTGCCCATCAGCTGGTGAGTGGAAACAGGAAACGTTGTGCATCCACACAATGTGATGTTTACTATTTATCCTCAGAAAGCACAGAAATTCGGACATGTGCTCCAGCATAAGTGGACCTTGAAGACACCCTGCTCAGTGAAACCTGCCAGGCACAAGAAGTCACATTTATGTGCATGTGAAATACCCAAAATGGGCTATATGTGGAGGCAAGAAGCAGATGAGTGGTTGCGTGGGTTGGAGCAACGGGGAAGGGGGAGTGGCTGCTGATGGGGATGGGTTTTCTTTTTACCAGTTCTGGAATGTTCTGGAACTACCGCGTTTCCCTGAAAATAAGACAGGGTCTTTTATTTATTTTTCCTCAAGAAGATACCCTAAGGCTTATTTCCAGGGGATGTGTTATTTTTTTAAGTACAGTACAACAATCTACATGTATTCAAATATAGTGAAGTCGTCTTCTTCTGGAACATCATCATAACTCTCCAAACCCCGGATTCCATGCTGAATTTCTTGCAACTCTATTTCCTTTAGAACCACTGGCCCCCAGTCTCTCATGTCGAGCAATAGAGCTCTCATGGGGCAGATGGGAAGGGCTGCTCGTCTTCTTGACCGCTCCGAGACGAAATGCACGGGTTGTGCAGATGCGCTGCGTAGCCACGCCCATCACTAGGTCTTATTTTCGGGGTAGGGCTTCTATTGCGCAAACGCTTAGAAATCCTGCTAGGGCTTATTTTATGGATAGGTCTTATTTTCGGGGAAATAAGGTTGTGCAGTGGTTGCACAACCTTGTGAATGCCCTGAGTGTTACTGAACTGTACAGTTAAAAAATGATGAAAGGTGTAAATTTTGTGTGTATTTTACCACCATTAGAAAGAAGTTAAGGCTGAGCACGGTGGCTCACACCTGTGATCCCAGCACTCTGGCAGGCTCGGATGGGAGGGTCACTTGAGCCCAGGGGTTTGGGGTCACGGTGAGCTATGGTGACACCACTGCACTTTTGCCAGGGCAACAGAGCGAGACTTTGTCTCAAAACAAAACGAAAACCACCAGAAAAGAAGTTAGCATTTCACTGCGTCCTCTGCATTCTGGTCAGCCCATTCGGACCCATGCCGAGGTTGGATCTGTCTCTCAGCATCTTCCAAATGACAAGTTCCTGACAATCATAGAAAGACTGGGGAGGTCATTCTCTTGTCCACATTCATGGCTACAGAGGTGACACGGTGCCTTGAAACAGGGCCATGATTCTCAGTAACAGGACGGGAAACTCTTCTCAATTTATCAGCTATGAGAAGCCACCCGCTGGCGTGTCGCCTGGGAAGCAGCTTCTCCTCTCGAAGGTAGCCCTTCCTTCATCCTTTCTTGTCAACATCAGGTGGAGATGTCTACACTCCCCAGACAGGGAGGCCGACCTACAGGGCTCTGCAAATTCATTCCCAACTAAAGCACACCGCGGCCATCATGGACACGCTCTTATGGACTGAGTGTTTGTGTCCCTAAAAGTCACATGTTGAAGCCCCAATGGGGATGGTATTTGGAGGTGGCACCTTTGGGAGGTAACTGGGTGTAGATGAGGCCAGGAGGGTGGGGGCCCCATGATGGGACGAATGCTCTCACAAGAAGGCAAAGAGATCAGGTGTCTCTCTGTCTCTGTCTCTCTGTGTCTCGTGGGAACACAGCAAGAAGGCGGCTGTCTGTAAGCTTGGAGGAGAGTCCTCACCGGGACAGGCAGCCTTGCTCTTCCAGCCTCCAGAACAGTGTGGAAAAATAAATTCCTGTTGTGAAAACCACCCAGTCTGTCATTTGCTGGGTATTTGAGGCACATGCCTCTCACCCCTTTCCTAAAAGCAGGGATTTAAAATTTTTCAGCATTTTTAGGGCCCATGACTGCCTTTGTCCGTTTTGGCTGCGGGGGTGTACGCTCAAAGCGGCGTAAACAAATGAACAGGATTACATGGCTCGGGCAACTCGAAGTCCTGTTTTAGCACAAGCCTTGGCAGTTCAGCAATGCTCCTAACGACCACATGGCTGTCCGTCTGTCCCTCCCGTGGTCTCAGCCCCATCCCATGATACGGCTTGAATATGTGTTGAATTGTGATGAAGCATTAGGCCATCAGGAGGAAATGGGGGTTGAATAAGAAGTTGAATCTAGTTATCAGAAAAAAAGGTCTGCTCTCTGGATTTTTTATTATGGCAAATGTCACCATTTTAACCGTTTTTAAGTAGGTAAGATTCAATGGCATATGCACATTCACAGGCTGTGCAGCCCTCACCGCCCTCCGTCTCCAGAACTTTCTCATCTTCCCAAGCAGAAGCTCTGTCCCAGTCAGCCCCTCATTCCACCACCCCTCCCCAGCCCCCGGCATGTTTAAAATTCAAATCTGGCACTTTTGTTAAAGAATGACAATTACATGGCATAACTCTTTTTTGGGGGGGGGTAAGTGTAAAAGTTAGTTGAGACATGAAATATTTTACTTAGTTCGATGAATATCCTTACATTTAAAAAAATACTCTATGGCTCACGCCTGTAATCCTAGCACTTTGGGAGGCCGAGGCGGGCGGATTGCTCAAGGTCAGGAGTTCGAAACCAGCCTGAGCGAGACCCCATCTTTACCAAAAATAGAAATAAATTAATTGACCAACTAAAAATATATATACAAAAAATTAGCCGGGCATGGTGGCGCATGCCTGTAGTCCCAGCTACTCGGGAGGCTGAGGCAGGAGGATCGCTTGAGCCCAGGAGTTTGAGGTTGCTGTGAGCCAGGCTGATGCCACGGCACTCACTCTAGCCTGGGCAACAAAGCGAGACTCTGTCTCAAAAAAAAAAAAAAATACTCTAAACATTTGTACCCCGGTAATATTCTGAAATAAAAATAAATAAATAAACAAAGCAAAACAACAAAAAAATTACTCTTCCTGATTTGTTAGAAGATACCCCTTATAACTAGATAGGAGGAAGAAGTTCTAGTGTTCTACACCACTGTAAGACAACTATTGTGGGTTTTTTTTTGTTTGTTTTTGGAGACAGAGTCTCATTCTGCTGCCCAGGCTAGAGTGAGTGCCGTGGCGTTAGCCTAGCTCACAGCAACCTCAAACTCCTGGGCTCAAGCAATCCTCCTGCCTCAGCCTTCCGGGTAGCTGGGACTACAGGCATGCGCCACCATGCCCGGCTCATTTTTTGTATATATATTAGCTGGCCAATTAATTTCTTTCTATTTATAGTAGAGACGGGGTCTCGCTCTTGCTCAGGCTGGTTTCGAACTCCTGACCTCGAGCAATCCGCCCGCCTCGGGCTCCCAGAGAGCTAGGATTACAGGCGTGAGCCACCACGCCCGGCCACGACAACTATTATTAACAATGATATATCACATAGTTTCGAAAACCTAGAAGGAGGATATTGGATGTTCTCAAAACAAAGAAGTAATAAATGTTTTGAGATGCTGGATATGCCAATTACCCTGATCCGATCACTATACATTTTATGTATCAGAACATCACTATGTACCCCATGAATATGTACAATTATTAGTTGTCAATTTAAAAAATAAAATAAAAATTTAAAAATCAGGATACAACATTATGACTGAAAATATGTTAAAAACATGCATATGAGTATGGAGAATATACGAAAGCAACAAATGGTATTCAGAATTTAAAAAATTACTCTTCTTGAATTCTTAAATGTTTTTCCTAACTTTTTTATTTTGAAATAATCATGGACTGGCAGGACGTTGCAAAGATAGGACAGACATGTCCTGAGTACCCTTCCCCAAGCTTCCTCCAGTGGTGACATCTTTCATAATTTTAGAGCACTGCCAACCCTAGGAAACTGGCTTGGGTACAGTACGGGTGCAGAGGTCTCTGTCCGTTTATCACGTGTCTGCATTTGTGAAACTACCACCATTTAATAGTTCAAGATACAG